CTTTTTCCGAGTGGCAGAATAACCCACTGCAGGTGGCTATAGAAGTCAAAAGACATAAGAGGCTGTTGAAGATGTTCTACAAACAGACTCACAGGTGATGTGAATGGATACTTGGTTGCTAATTTTTGTTTGATTTCTTGTATGAGTTAATAGTTTCATGTATATGGGTTGGAGCACCCCTTGTGCTCCTTAAGATAATAATAAATTTATTTGCTGATAAAAAAAAATGATATAAAATTTTTTTAATGAAAGGCAATTCTCTTATTTTTCTTTATCTCATTTTAATCACATATCATGTTACTTAAATTTAAAATTTTTTATTTTCAGTAAAAAGAGATTATTATTAAATTATTTATATATATCATTGGCAACGATGTTATAGTTTGTTAATTAACAAACTAGTTAAGCCTCCTTGATCAATTTAAAAATTTACAAGTATGATCTATATGAATAAAACTATTAATCTAGTAGTTAATTTTTGAAAATATTAATTATAAGATGAGGTTTTTCCTTTAAAAAAAATTTGAAAAGACAACCTATAAATATTTTTCTTGTGTATATATATGTGTCTTAAGAAAAAAATTATATGTAAATCAATTAGTAAGTTGTCTTTGTGATCACAAATTTGAAAAATGATTAGTACACCTTCTAATTTAATACATCTCATAATACTCATCGATTTAGTTATTAAATTTTGTAGTTTTTAGTTTTTTCCATCTTCGATTCAAATTTGAAACATATAAATTTTTAATAAATGTGTGAATTATGTTAAATTAAAAGTGTATCAATCATTGATCCACAAATTTATTTATTTTTTTTAATCAACAATAAATATTTTCAAATGTTTGGGAACTCTTATAGACAAATATATTACTTGTATGACATAGAAAGCATTTACCTGGGTTTTGAATCATTTTTCTTGAAGAAAGGGGAGATAGAAAGGGGAAAATGCATATTATTTATTTTATCCAAGTATACAGGAATTAAAAACAGAATTATTGTTGATGATTAATCTAAACTTTTATTACTTTAACCATTAATTACTAAAAATGTAATTAAAAGGGATAGTTAGTATTAATTATATATCCATTGATGTTAAAGAGGCAGAAGCTGCTCTGTTATTGGAAGAAGCTACTGTTATCTCGAAATGCACGTTACAGTGGCTATGCTGTTGGCCTCGTATGGAATTTAATTAGTATACTTTATTCAAATCTCACTAATTTCTTTTTCGTTTAATATTTTGAAATAGGAAAAATAATATTTTAAAATTATTTAAGTTGATTGATTTATTATTTGAATATTATCATAATGAAGTATTATTTATGATTTAAATAAAATATTTCAATTAATAAAAAAACCAAAAATAACAAAAATTTAAAAAATA